CCTGCCTATGCAGGGGGTCGGACTCGATCTATTGAGGTCCCTTCCGACCCTAACATCTATGAATCTATGAATAGACCAGGAGGTCCCGGTATGTGGTCCACGCTTTGCACTGGGCCTGGCTTTCCTATATTGTCCTCTGTTAAAAGCCTGATGCTGGGGCATGTGGCCCAGAGGTCTTAGGAGGTGGGGGTAAGTGGAGGTGTTCGGGTAGGTGACGCAGAAGCTCCCAGGTTCATGACGAAAGTGTGCTCAGTGCTTGCCTGGCACCCCAGACCCTCGGAGGTCCCGGTATGTGGTCCACGCTTTGCACTGGGCCTGGCTTTCCTATATTGTCCTCTGTTAAAAGCCTGATGCTGGGGCATGTGGCCCAGAGGTCTTAGGAGGTGGGGGTAAGTGGAGGTGTTCGGGTAGGTGACGCAGAAGCTCCCAGGTTCATGACGAAAGTGTGCTCAGTGCTTGCCTGGCACCCCAGACCCTCATGGGTCGGCGTGTTCTGGGGGAAGATTACCCTGCACTAAGCCACCCAGCCCCTTCTGCAGGTCTCTTGCCCATTGCCTGCCCTTGTCCTCCAGCTCTGCTTGGATTTAGAGCCGCCGACACCTGAGGGAGACCTGAGGAGGCCAGGGACAGTGCCACGTGCAAGGCGTCTGCGTGATCCTGCAGCCCCGTGGTTGCACCTCGCCAGTGGGCTGAGGTCCTTGGAGTGACGCCGAGTTCCTGTGACGGGGCCTCCTTACATGCCCATCTTCTGCAGGGAGTCACCGTGGCCATGCTCAGAAGATCAGCAACCGAGAGGAGCATGCAGGTGCCTCCATAAGGGTCTGATATCAGTTATCTGTGGTCCAGGGTGCTGCCACCGGGGCACTGCAGCCAGGGGCTCACATCAGGCCCTGCAGACGGGAGTGTAGAGGTCATGCCCCAAGGGAGAGATGGCTTGCACTGAGATCAGAGGAGATGGGCTGGGCGGGTCATTTAAGGGTTGTGAAACCTAGGGGAGGGGGGTCTTTCCTGGGAAGAGCATGTGGAGCCACCCTGCGTCCAGCTCTGTGGCCCTTCAGGTGAGAGATGCAGAGGAGGAGGGGGCCGGAGGTGCAGGGCATTGGCCTGAGTTCAGGTCCTTGCTTCCTGCAGGACCTTGGTAAGGTCCTTGGGAAGTGGCCTCCTTCCCAAGACCCCTGTAGCCTAATTAGTGCCTTAGCAGAGGTAGGTGCCCAGCCCCCAGGCAGCCGGGGGAATAGGGGGCACCTTCAGCAAGCCGGGGTGAAATGGAGGGCAAAGGAGTGCGATTTCGGCTGAGCTGCTCAGGGAGCAGGTGTCTGCCTGGCCAGAGAGGCAAGGCTTGAGCTCTGCCTAGCCGCGACAGACCCAGGGACCCGCATCCCCCTGCAAAAGACTTGGGTTCAAGTCCTTTTTCTGTCTAAACCAGAGCAGGGACTTGACCCCTTATCACAGGGCTGCATCTCTGCGCGCCAGCCACCAATGCATGGGTTATGCCACCGAGGGGAGACCCCCACCTCAGGGCTGCGGCCTGTCCTGGGGACAGGAGGATTCAAGTCCTTGCACTTGTCTGTCTCACGTATGCAGTCGTCCGAGTACGCTTGATGGGAGGGAGGTCTGCGTGGCGAGTCCTGCTCAGGGCCCTGGGTGTGAGCTCTGGGCAGCGCTGGGTTTTGAGGCAACATCAGCATTTGGTCGGCTTTGCGCTGGTAGAAACGTGGGTGCCCATGGGGCTCGGCAGACACTGCAGGGTGGATCTGGGGAGAGCAGCGGTGCCCAAATGGGGGGCACAGGCGGACGCTTTGCCTCTCCTGCCGCCACCGTACCTCACAGGATCTGGGGCTTCTGGGATCGTGCCTCGGGACGGGCGTGGTGCTCACAAAACACGCTCCTGCAGGAGATCCTGGTTGCAGGGTCTGGCTTTTCCTCTCAGTCAGACCCATCACCAACCACATTTGGGGTCAGGAGGGATTTGGTCAGACTGGCATGATTTGTAGGTGGTTTCTGCAGTGGGGGGCACTTTTCCTAGGATCCTCTGAGCAGCTGCTTCTCCATCGTGCCAGGGGCAGAGCATTGGCCATGACCATCTTTTCCCTGTGCCACGTGCTAAGGTGTTTTTGGTGCTTTGGGTTTTGTGCCTTGTAGCGGCGGGTATGCTAAGGTGTTTTTGGTGCTTCGAGTTTTGTGCCTTGTAGCGGCGGGTGAGGGTTGGAGGTGGCAAAGTTGGGAGGTTTCCTGTGGGCACCGGGAACCGGGCTCAATGGCTTGGGAAGCCCCTTTCCAGTGCTGCTCCTAACCATACAGACCCCGTAGCTAGAGGAGCAATTGGAGAAGGTGTGCGCTGAGCAGTCTGCGCCCCATCTTGCCCTGGAGAGGTGTGTTGGCTGAGTAGCACCGGGGGGCGTTAGCTCTGCCTCTGCCCACGCTGCAGCTAGTGGAGCCTGGTCCAAAGCCTACCATGAGATGGTTCATTTTCCCCAAGCGAGACGGGCAAGGGCTGGCTTTGTATGGCAGCGCTCGGGGTTTGTGCCAGAGGGAAGAGGAGGGCAGAAGACGCAGTGCCAGCGGTTAATGAGCCAGGCGGACACACGGCGCAATCAGTCAGGGACTCTGTTCACCTCCACCCCTCACCTTCATTAACACAATTAGCAGCTCCCAGCTCACATCAACTCCTTAAGCGTGGACTGTGCCCTGAAATCCTTATGTTAATGGAGTCTAATGATCTACTAATCTTCCCTCCCCGCAGCCCTCGGCCTGCTTAATTGGTGGAGCCATTGGCCCGGACACTTAACGGTTGTGTAATGGGTAGCATTTGTCCTCCTCGTGGTTTTGCCTTATGATTTGCCACTTACTGAGGGCGCGGCAGACAATAGCAGGGGTCAGAGAGGCTCCGTCTCCTCTGTCTTCCACGTCTGAGCGAGGTCAGGCAGCCGGCGGGGAGGAGCGAGTCCTTGCTTTACACCATTGATTGGGGGAAAAAGAAGGACTCGGTGGTGTCTGCTCATAGCCTGGGAGTGTCCTGGTGTCGTCTGCGCTGTGGCTGCAAGGCCAGCGTCTTGCCAATGCTGGTACGAGACCCAGGTGGAGGGGGCTCCCCTGCATCCCTCTGCCCTGATACTAATTTCTTAGTGGCATGAATCAAGAGGCATCATGATGGTAATAGCTCAAGGGGCGAATCTGTCCCACTCCAGTTGTTCCAGCTGGGGTGCAGCCGGAGAGCAACGCGTGTCCTATGAGCTGGCGTCACCCCGGGGCTGCTTTTCCCCTGGGGAGCTCCCAGCATGGTGCAAACCTCACTAAAGCCTTGTTGGAGGGCAGCAGATAATACAGTGTCCAAAGGGATGGGCCGGGGGGGGGATCTCCATGCAAACCTCTCCTCTGCTACTGAATTCCTGTGCGATGCTGCAGGGCAAGAGGCACAAAGGGAAGGAGACGCTCGCTTGAGTTCAGCACCGAGACTCTCAAACCCTCTGGTCAGCTGAAGGTGCCCGAGTTTGCACCAGGAAAGTCCCAAAGGCC